AGTGAACCGAGAATGATTGGTCATTGAGCTCCACGACGGAAAATTGCCGGCTCCATGACCTGTACCGGTTCGGCTGTTTTCGCGTCTCGGGGCCACAAACGCCCGAAACGAGCGTTTTACTTCAACGTGAAGACGTCATTCGTGAGTTTACGGACCTGCGATTATGCTGGAAAGTGCCAGGGAGTGAACCGAGAATGATTGGTCATTGAGCTCCACGACGGAAAATTGCCTGCTCCATGACCTGTACCGGTGCGGCTGTTTTCGCGTCTCGGGGCCACAAACTTCCCGAAACGCTAAGAACGAGCGTGTCAGAAGAACTGAACGAGGAATGAATGAACTAGCAGTGAAATGAGTACAAGTACCTAACCCTAGAATTGTGTACCCCCTATAGGCTAACCCACTGCAGCCTAAACAAGCACAACATGTATAATGTTTGACACACCCCCATAGGCAAAGTGGGGGAGAGCAAGGGGTCACAAGACCAGTCAAAGCAAAGCAAAACAGGCTCAGGGTGGATCTCAAGGATACCACACAAATTCCGAGCACAAACAAGTGGTCACAAGACCAGTTCACATGCAGGTTGATAATATAGCAAGAGATACAGTGATCACAACCTAGCAAGTGTAAACATGTAGGCATATATATAAAGATCACAGTACAAGCAGAGTCAAGAGGTAAGTAAGTGAGGTCCAGCAGGCACAAGGCCTAGAAGAGTACAGAAACGCTGATGGTCACAAGGCTGAAACGCTTTGGTGAACACATCAGCAAGGTTGGCCTCAGTGGCCACGTAACGCAGACGTAGCTGACCACGCTGCTGCAGCTCTCGAGCAAGGAAGTACCGCAAGGCGATGTGCTTCGTTCTGTGCTCCAGTCTGTGCTCCTCACACAAGGCAATGGCAGCCTGGTTGTCGACGTACAGCACTGGAGGAGAACGAGGCCGCTCTCCCAAGTCGGTCAGCAGGTAGGTCAGCCAGCGTAGCTCCTGGGCAGCCATGGCTGTGGCGTAGATCTCAGCCTCACAACTGGAGCTGAGAACAGAAGAAGAGCGTGTAGAACGCCAGGAAACTGAGCCGGAGCCAAGGCTGAAGGTGTAACCCTGAGACGACCGCTGAGTAGCCTGGTCGTCAGCCCAAGAAGCGTCTGAGTGTCCAGTAAGTACAACTCGGTCTCGCCCTCCAAGCACTAGCCCCATGCCCGACGTACTGCAAAAGTAGCGCAACACCCTCTTAGCGGCATCCATGTGCTCCTTCCTGTGACGGCCAGGAGCGACATAGCGTGCAAGGATGCTAAGAGGGTATGCAAGGTCAGGTCGAGTGCAGGTCATCAGGTACATGAGGCAGCCCACAAGCTCTGGATATGGGCCACTCGGCTCTACGGACTCATCCGAAGGAAGAGCTGAGAGCGAGTGACCGGTAGGCAGAGGAGTGGACTGAGGCGAGGAGTATGTGAAGCGGAAGCGCTGAAGGATCTGCTGCACCATGTGTGACTGAGTCAAGGTGATGGTGCGCCGTGCTCTGTCCCGGGTGATCCGCAAGCCAAGATAGCTTGTCAGTTCACCCAGGTCTGTGCACGTGTGTCTCCTCTGCAGCTCCGACTTCACGTGGGCGAGTGCCGCGGTGTTAGCAGTGGCAAAGACCAAGTCGTCGACGTACACGAGGATGTAGAACGGCGGCAGCGAGGTGTCTGTGCGTAGAAACAGTGACGGGTCAGCAGTAGAGGGAGCGAACCCAAGAGCCGCAAGTGTCGTCCTCAGTGTGTCGTGCCACTCACGTGGTGCCTGACGGAGACCGTAGACCGGCCGCTGGAGCCTCCACTGGGTACCAGGAGGAACCGACCCAGTGAAGCCAGGAGGGCGGCGCAGCCAGATCTCCTCGTGCAGGCTGCCCTGCAAGAAAGCAGTGCTGAAGTCAAGTGAGTGAAGCTCGTAGTCGCGCTGAGCGGCTATGTGCAGCAGCACCCGAAAAGTGGTCATCTTCGGGGTGGGGGAGAAGGTCTGGAAGAAGTCAACTCCCTCTCGCTGACTGAAGCCTCGAGCAACGTAGCGCGCCTTGAAGACAGGAGGAGAACCTGGTGGCCGCTTCACCCTGAAAATCCACATGCCACTGACGATGTTCGCCCCAGGTGGGGGAACCTCGTCGACGTAGGTGCGTGTGGACTTCCAGGAAGCCATCTCTGCGTCCATGGCTGTCTGCCACTGAGAGGAGTAGGGACCCGCCATCGCCTCAGCGTAAGTGCGCGGGGTCGGGATGTCTGGTGCATCCGGGTCTCCCTCAGGGGCAACTAGCATGGACACAAGATGGGGCAAAGAAGCAGCAAAGCACTGGAACTCCTCCTGTCTGTCCTCAAGGACGTCCGTGCCAAGAGCACACACACCCCCGACGGACGGAGGACAGACAGACTCAGACTCAGACTCAGCAACAAGGCTAGTGGCGTAGTCTAGACGACACCGGGCAGCAAAGTCTATCAACTCAGCGACCAGAGCAGACGCAGCAGAGGACTCAAAGGTAGGGTCAGTGACAACAGTGGCGAGAAGACGCGTGACAGTGGGACTGGCAGCACGACGGGAGTCAGACTCCGGGTCAGGAAGAGTAGGTAGAGAGGACGCAGGAGGAGACGGCAGCGGGACACGCTGAGGAGCAGTGGAGGGACGCAGAGTCATGTAGTGAGTGCCAGGGACAGGAGGAGGACGCTCACGTGGGACACGACGACCAGTGCGAGCAGTACGAACAGGCGACGCAGGACGAGACGCAGGCTCACGACGCTCTGCAAGACCTCCTGTGGGACCAGTGTAAGGAGAGGGACCAGGGAGAGGCGAGGCAGGCGGTAACTGGGACTGCGACTGGACAGGCGGAGGACACTCTACGGAGGGAGGAGGACAAGGAGGAGGAGCCTGACCAAGAACCTGCTGAAGGAGCGGTACGAAATACGGTCGCGGCCGCGCAGCGTCTCCAGAACCAGCAGAGACACCAGCGCCAGGGTCCTCAGTACCAGCAGCAGCTCCACCGTCCGGGTCCTCAGCACCAGCAGCAGCTCCACCGCTCGGGTCCGCAGCACCAGCAGCAGCTCCACCGCGCGGGTCCTCAGCACCAGCAGGAACTCCACCAGCCGGGTCCTCAGCACCAACAGCAGCTCCAACGTCCGGGTCCTCAGCACTAGCAGCAGCGCCACCGCTCGGGTCCTCAGCACCAGCAGGAACTCCACTAGCTGGGTCCTCAGCACCAGCAGCAGCTCCAACGTCCGGGTCCTCAGCACCAGTAGCAGTGCCACCGCTCGGGTCCTCAGCACCAGCAGGAACTCCACCAGTCGGGTCCTCAGCACCAGCAGCAGCTCCACCAGTCGGGTCCGCAGCACCAGCAGCAGCTCCAACGTCCGGGTCCGCAGCACCAGGAGCACCACTCCGAAGACTGCAGCGCCTCGTGTACCACTCTCGGATCTGCTGGAGGGGGGGGAGCTCCCGGGCAGGAGGGGAAGCACCGCGACCAGCTCCAGCAGTACCTCTCCGGAGGCGGCAGTACTGTAGGTACCGCTCCTGCAGCCGCTGTGAGGAGAGGGCTCCTCCAGGTGGAGTACCCCCAGACTCAGCACCCCCAGGCTCCGCACCCGCAGACTCAGCACCGTCAGGCTCACTACCCCCAGGCTCAGCACCCCCAGGCTCCGCACCTCCAGACTCAGCACTCCCAGGCTCAGCACCCCCAGACTCAGCACCCCCAGGCTCAGCACCCCCAGGCTCAGCACCCCCAGCAGGACGAGAGTCAACAGCTACCTCGACAGGCTCAACCGGGTCTACCTGGGACACACCTGAGGGAGCGGCACCCTGAGGGGGGAGGGGGTCTGGTACCTCAGCACCTGGAGCCAGGAAGAGAGGCGGGGGGGGGAGTGGGGCAGTGCGGTAGGGGAAGAGGCGGTAGTAGGGGACGGACTCGTCAAAAGTGACGTCCTGAGAGGCCAGGACACGACGCGAGGTGGCATGGTAGAACTGCCAACCAGGCGTGTCCGGGACAAAGCCAAGGAAGACACAGGGGACAGCGCGACGGGAGAGCTTGTCCGCGGACGTGTCGCGAACAAAGGCTCGAGATCCCCAGACCCGAAAACGCGACGCATCGCCAGCCTCTCCCGTCCAACGCAGTGTCGGAGAAGTCTCCGGTAAGGAGACACGGGGCCAGAGGTTGAGCTGATGCGCAGCGTATCGGACTGCAAACGGCCACAGAAAGTGGGGGGCAGCCGCATGAACTAAGGAGGTACGAGCGACCTCCATGACCAAGCCAATGCGGCGCTCAGCAACCCTATTCTGCTGTGGAGAGGCCGGAAGCGTGAACGACTGCTCAATGCCCTCCTGCTGACAGAAGGCCTCCAAGAGGCCAGAGGAAAACTCCCCACCTCTGTCAGAGTGCAGACGCAGGACAGGGAAGTCGGAGCGGAAACGCTCACTGAGTTGGAGACGAGATCTGCGGATCCAAGGGATCAAGGGGAAGACCGTGGTGTAGCGCGAGAAGTCGTCAACAACAATCAGGAAGTACCTCTCCTGACCCTGACCACGGACGCGGGCTGGGCCCCACACGTCCATGTGGAGCGTCTGCAAAGGAGCAGTCGTCGGGGGAAAGGAGGAGGAGTGAGGAGCGGCGCGCTGTCGCCCCTCGACACAGGGAAGACAGGGAGGAGCAGGCGAGGGTGGGAGGGGAGGGAGAACCCTGGGAAGACCAGCAACAAGGTCCCGTTTGTGCATGGCCCGAAGGCGCTGCACAGACGGGTGACCAAGGCGGTGGTGCCAGAGGACAGTCTCATGCACCAGAGAGCGACACGAGCAGGGGGCGGACAGCTGACCTGACGCAGACGCAGACGCAGACGCAGCTACCTGAGGGGACTCAGTGGTCAGTGTGTACAGGTCCGACCCGGGCTGCCGAGTGAAGGTAGCCAGGTGACGGCCCGTCCGAGCACATGTGCAGTGTGTCACGCGCTCGTATGCAGGGGTAAACTGGTGAACACCCCCGTCCTGGAGCGCACTACCTACCACCAAGTTCGTAGAGAACGAGGGGAGGTAGAGACCTGACAGTGTGCCTGACGGGACCGCAGGACAAGGAAGGACAGTGGAGGAGGTCGCAACGACCGGACCCCCAGAGGGGTAGGGAGACAGCAACTGGCCGAGCGAGTGGCTCAAGGACAGTGCGGTCACGAAAGAAACAGCGAGAAGCACCTGAGTCCAGTGTGAAGGTGTGCAGTGCCGTAGTCGACTCAGTACCAGGGGGCACAGACTCACGAGCACCTAGAGCAGCAGCCTCACCAGGACCTGGGGCAGCAGACTCACTAGCACCTAGAGCGGCAGCCGGACTGGTCAGAATGCCCGGGTCGGGCGGAACACGCAAGTACTGAGCACCCTCTCCACTAGTAAACATCGCATACATGGCAGTGAGAATAGCATCAAAGTCTAGAGCCCAGATATCAACCCCCTGCCTCTCCAGATCAGCCCAGCGGGGCAGCTCAGCGCCAGCAGGAAACTGGGCGCGCCATGCGTCGGTAAGGCGCGAGAAACAGCGGTGCGTGGGGTGCGGCTTCCCACACGTCTGGCCAGCGCGGTCACCAGTGCGAATGACGTACGTGCAGGTAACACCACCCGCCCCCCCCCGCTGCGAATACCACTCACGTGCCTCCTGAAGCGACGGGGCGTGCTGCTGGCTCTGGCCACCGCCAGCGCCTCCACGACCACCACCGCCGCCGCCACCGCCTCGGCCACCTCCACCCCTGCCGCCGCCACGACCACCTCCGCCTCCGCTGCCGCCTCCGCCCCTGCCACCGCTCCCGCCGCTGCTGTCACCACCCCCACTGCCGCCACTAGCCTCTCCAGTCCCACCTCCACTCCCACCGCCTCCACCCCCGCCTCCCCCGCCGCCACCTCCACCCTTGCCCCCTTTGCCCCTGCGGCGCCCGCTCGGAGCAGACGCGGTCCCGACCTTCTCAGCACCAAGGAGGTCGACAGTAGCAGCAGAGGCGACAGAGGGGAGAAGGGGGGAAGGGGAACACCCCTCAAAGAACGGGGTGCGGGGGTCGCCACGAGAGGTGCCTACAGCGACGATGCTCGCCTCAGCTGCAAGCAATTCCTTCTCGAGGAGGGCAATGGTGAGCTCAGTGGGAGAGCGAGCGAGGAAGTGGTCCCTGACTGCGCGCAGAGAGTCAGGGAGGCGGGTGACGATGTGGTAGAGCGTGATCCAGAGCGGGGGGGGGGTTGCTGGCAAGGAACTCGTCAGGCATAGCAGCGCGAAAGCGGGCCTCACTAGTCCTGAGGTGGGTGATGAGGTCAGCGACTGTGCTGAAGGAGGCGAGGTCGGGGAACAGGTAGGGGAGGGTGAGGCGGCCTAGTGTGGCAGAAGCAGGCGAGGAGTAACGAGCAACTACAGCAGTGTACAGGTCCTTAGCAGTCTTGTGCTGGCCAAAGTGCTCGCGCTCATCTAGCGGTAGGGAGTTGCGAATAGCGAAGCGAGCGTGGGCGTCACGAGTCTGCCACTGTGAGCGCTGAGTGCTGTCTGCAGTGGTAGGAGGGGCAGTAGCGTGACCGAGGGCATGATCGTACAGTGAAATATCCTCCTTGGCAGTGAGCTGTAGGAAGAGGTGCAGGTCATCTAGCCAGGTGTCAAACTTCACTGGGCGGCCCTCAGCATCGAAAGCAAGTACGGGAGGACTGGCCATAGTGGCAGCAGTAGTAACAGTAGTAACAACAGTTGTAGTAGTAGTAGGAGAAGAAGTAGGAGTAGCAGTATCAACGGAGCTGCTAGTACGGGCGGCGCGGCTCGGTCGGGCGGCGCGGCTCGGTTCGGGCTGCGCGGCTGCGCGGAGCCGCTAAGCGGGGCGGTACGGGGCCGCGGGGGCCTCTAAGCGGGGGTCGCGGGGCCGCGGGGCCGCTAAGCGGGGCGCAACGGGGTCGCGGGGCCGTGAGGTGGGGCGCGACGGGGCCGCGGGGCCTCTAAGCGGGACGCGACGGGGCCGCGGGGCCTCTAGGCGGGACGCAACGGGGCCGCAGGGCCTCTAGGCGGGGTTCGACGGGGCCGCGGGGCCGCTAAACGGGGTGTGCGTGGGGTCGACGGGGCCGTTAAGTGGGGCGCGCGCGGGTCGACGGGGCCAGCGGGGCCTCTAAGGGGGGACGCGCGCGGGTCGACGGGGCCAAACGGGGCCGAAATCGGGGCGCGCGCGGGTTCGACGGGGCCACTAAGGGGCCGTACACGAGGGCGCACGAGGGCGCTGAGGGGGAGGCGCTAACGCAGCACTCCGACAGTAGGGCGCACTAAGGCGCTAGGAGGCAGTCAGTAGAGGTGGGCCCGAAAAAAAAACTTAGGTCCTAGCGAAGGACCTGCTCTGAAACCATGTCAGAAGAACTGAACGAGGAATGAATGAACTAGCAGTGAAATGAGTACAAGTACCTAACCCTAGAATTGTGTACCCCCTATAGGCTAACCCACTGCAGCCTAAACAAGCTCAAGATGTATAATGTTTGACAAATATGTGCAGAAAGTGCAGCGGGCGCTCTTCATTCTCAAGGGCCGATGACCAATGATGCTCGCAACCCTTCCACGCCCTTGCTAGCTTGGCAAGAGGCCTAGACAAGTGCAGCCACGTGATCTGGTAGAAGAAAAACGCTCACTGTGAGCGCTTCTAGCCTCAAAACGCGCTAGGATCAGCACATGTGCAGGAAGTGCAGCGGGCGTTCTTCATTCTCAAGGGCCGATGGCCAATGATGCTCGCAACCCTTCCACGCCCTTGCTGGCTTGGCAAGAGGCCTAGACAAGCACAGCCACGTGACCTGGTAGATGCAAAACGCTCAGAACGAGCGCTTCTAGCCTCAAAACGCACTAGGATCCGCACATGTGGAGGAAGTGCAGCGGGCGCTCTTCATTCTCAAGGGCCGCTGACCAATGATGCTCGCAACCCTTCCACGCCCTTGCTGGCTTGGCAAGAGGCCTAGACAAGCGCAGCCACGTGACCTGCTAGAAGAAAAACGCTCAGAACGAGCGCTTCTAGCCTCAAAACGCGCTAGGATCCGAACATGTGGAGGAAGTGCAGCGGGCGCTCTTCATTCTCAAGGGCCGAAGACCAATGATGCTCGCAACCCTTCCACGCCCTTGCTGGCTTGGCAAGAGGCCTAGACAAGCGCAGCCACGTGACATGGTAGAAGAAAAACGCTCAGAACGAGCGCTTCTAGCCTCAAAACGCGCTAGGATCCGCACATGTGGAGGAAGTGCAGCGGGCGCTCTTCATTCTCAAGGGCCGAAGACCAATGATGCTCGCAACCCTTCCACGCCCTTGCTAGCTTGGCAAGAGGCCTAGACAAGTGCAGCCACGTGACCTGCTAGAAGAAAAACGCTCAACGAGCGCTTCTAGCCTCAAAACGCGCTAGGATCCGCACATGTGCAGGAAGTGCAGCGAGCGCTCTTCATTCTCAAGGGCCGCTGACCAATGATGCTCGCAACCCTTCCACGCCCTTGCTGGCTTGGCAAGAGGCCTAGACAAGCGCAGCCACGTGACCTGGTAGAAGAAAAACGCTCAGAACGAGCGCTTCTAGCCTCAAAACGCGCTAGGATCCGCACATGTGGAGGAAGTGCAGCGGGCGCTCTTCATTCTCAAGGGCCGAAGACCAATGATGCTCGCAACCCTTCCACGCCCTTGTTGGCTTGGCAAGAGGCCTAGAAAAACGCAGCCACGTGACCTGGTAGAAGAAAAACGCTCAGAACGAGCGCTTCTAGCCTCAAAACGCGCTAGGATCCGCACATGTGGAGGAAGTGCAGCGGGCGCTCTTCATTCTCAAGGGCCGAAGACCAATGATGCTCGCAACCCTTCCACGCCATTGCTGGCTTGGCAAGAGGCCTAGACAAGCGTAGCCACGTGACCTGGTAGAAGAAAAACGCTCAGAACGAGCGCTTCTAGCCTCAAAACGCGCTAGGATCCGCACATGTGCAGGAAGTGCAGCGGGCGCTCTTCATTCTCAAGGGCCGCTGACCAATGATGCTCGCAACCCTTCCACGCCCTTGCTGGCTTGGCAAGAGGCCTAGACAAGCACAGCCACGTGACCTGGTAGATGCAAAACGCTCAGAACGAGCGCTTCTAGCCTCAAAACGCGCTAGGATCCGCACACGTGGAGGAAGTGCAGCGGGCGCTCTTCATTCTCAAGGGCCGCTGACCAATGATGCTCGCAACCCTTCCACGCCCTTTCTGGCTTGGCAAGAGGCCTAGACAAGTGCAGCCACGTGACCTGGTAGAAGAAAAACGCTCAGAACGAGCGCTTCTAGCCTCAAAACGCGCTAGGATCCGCACATGTGCAGGAAGTGCAGCAGGCGCTCTTCATTCTCGAGGGCCGATGACCAATGATGCTCGCAAACCTTCCACGCCCTTGCTGGCTTGGCAAGAGGCCTAGACAAGCGCAGCCACATGACCTGGTAGAAGAAAAACGCTCAGAACGAGCGCTTCTAGCCTCAAAACGCGCTAGGATCCGCACATGTGGAGGAAGTGCAGCGGGCGCTCTTCATTCTCAAGGGCCGATCACCAATGATGCTCGCAACCCTTCCACGCCCTTGCTGGCTTGGCAAGAAGCCTAGACAAGCGCAGCCACATGACCTGGTAGAAGAATCATGCTCATTGCAAGCGCTTCTAGCCTCAGAACGCGCTAGGATCCGCACATGTGTAGGAAGTGCAGCAGGCCCCCTTCATTCTCAAGGGCGGAAGACCAATGATGCTCGCAACCCTTCCACGCCCTTGCTGGCTTGGCAAGAGGCCTAGACAAGTGCAGCCACGTGACCTGCTTGAAGAAAAACGCTCAGAGCGAGCGCTTCTAGCCTCAAAACGCGCTAGGATCCGCACATGTGGAGGAAGTGCAGCGGTCGCTCTTCATTCTCAAGGGCGGAAGACCAATGATGCTCGCAACCCTTCCACGCCCTTGCTGGCTTGGCAAGAGGCCTAGACAAGCGCAGCCACGTGACCTGGTAGAAGAAAAACGCTCAGAACGAGCGCTTCTAGCCTCAAAACGCGCTAGGATCCGCACATGTGCAGGAAGTGCAGCGGGCGCTCTTCATTCTCAAGGGCCGCTGACCAATGATGCTCGCAACCCTTCCACACCCTTGCTGGCTTGGCAAGAGGCCTAGACAAGTGCAGCCACATGACCTGGTAGAAGAAAAATGCTCAGAACGAGCGCTTCTAGCCTCAAAACGCGCTAGGATCCGCACATGTGGAGGAAGTGCAGCGGGCGCTCTTCATTCTCAAGGGCCGAAGACCAATGATGCTCGCAACCCTTCCACGCCCTTGCTGGCTTGGCAAGAGGCCTAGACAAGTGCAGCCACGTGACCTGGTAGAAGAAAAACGCTCAGAACGAGCGCTTCTAGCCTCAAAACGCGCTAGGATCCGCACATATGCAGGAAGTGCAGCGGGCGCTCTTCATTCTCAAGGGCCGCTGACCAATGATGCTCGCAACCCTTCCACACCCTTGCTGGCTTGGCAAGTGGCCTAGACAAGCGCAGCCACATGACCTGGTAGAAGAAAAACGCTCAGAACAAGCGCTTCTAGCCTCAAAACGCGCTAGGATCCGCACATGTGGAGGAAGTGCAGCTGGCGCTCTTCATTCTCAAGGGCCGATGACCAATGATGCTCGCAACCCTTCCACGCCCTTGCTGGCTTGGCAAGAGGCCTAGACAAGCGCAGCCACGTGACATGGTAGAAGAAAAACGCTCAGAACGTGCGCTTCTAGCCTCAAAACGCGCTAGGATCCGCACATGTGGAGGAAGTGTAGCGGGCGCTCTTCATTCTCAAAGGCCGATGACCAATGATGCTCGCAAACCTTCCACGCCCTTGCTGGCTTGGCAAGAGGCCTAGACAAGCGCAGCCACATGACCTGGTAGAAGAAAAACGCTCAGAATGAGCGCTTCTAGCCTCAAAACGCGCTAGGATCCGAACATGTGGAGGAAGTGCAGCGGGCGCTCTTTATTCTCAAGGGCCGAAGACCAATGATGCTCGCAACCCTTCCACGCCCTTGCTGGCTTGGCAAGAGGCCTAGACAAGCGCAGCCACATGACCTGGTGGAAGAAAAACGCTCAGAACGAGCGCTTCTAGCCTCAAAACGTGCTAGGATCCGCACATGTGGAGGAAGTGCAGCGGGCGCTCTTCATTCTCAAAGGCCGATGACCAATGATGCTCGCAACCCTTCCACGCCCTTGCTGGCTTGGGAAGAGGCCTAGACAAGCGCAGCCACATGGCCTGTTTGAAGAAAAATGCTCAGAACGAGCGCTTCTAGCCTCAAAACCCGCTAGGATCCCCATTTGTGGAGGAAGTGCAGCGGGCGCTCTTCTGTCAGAATAACTGAACGAGGAATGTCTGAACTAGCAGTGAAACGAGTACAAGTACCTAACCCTAGAATTGTGTACCCCCTATAGGCTAACCCACTGTAGCCTAAACAAGCACAACACATATAATGTTTGACACACCCCCATAGGCAAAGTGGGGGAGAGCAAGGGGTCACAAGACCAGTCAAAGCAAAGCAAAACAAGCTCAGGGTGGTTCTCAAGGATACCACACAAATTCCGAGCACAAGCAAGTGGTCACAAGACCAGTTCACATGCAGGTTGATAATATAACAGGAGAAACAGTGATAACAACCTAGCAAGTGTAAACATGCAGGCATATATATAAAGATCACAGTACAAGCAGAGTCA